TTTCATGTGTTAACGCATTTAAGTATATATTTTTAAATAATATTCACATATAACAATGATTAGTAATAAATTAATAAATGAGTGTTATACATATATATATATATATATATATATATATATATATATATATATATATATATATATATATAAATATACATGTATGTAAAACGTTAATAACCAGCTCTGTAATCGATAACAAAATTAATAGTTCAGGAAACGTTTACGAGTACTACCAGATCTTATTTGTAACCTTTGACGGTTTAATTATTATTATTACAGAACTGATATTATAAAATTAAAACTTCAATTACACTGAATTGATCGATACACGATTTATGACATATGGCAAAGTACATTTAAATGTAGGAATATATATAATAGCATACATATTAAATTAAAGTTATATTTTTGGGATACTACTGGTTTTTTCACTATTTTTTGACTACATAATCCCGACGTTTCGTTTCCTTTTGAGCATTCGTAATCACGGGCACACGAGATTAAAGTATGACCATTTATTTATGTATATGTTTTGTCAACAAAACATTTTTAAACAAATCTCAATGCAGCATGTCATATCAATATTGGTATAAATTATTATTAGATCTTTAAGACAGCAGTATGCATTGGATCTATACAAAGTTTTTTTTCTATAATTTTTTAGGGTTAATTGTGTATGATGATGTAGTCAACAAGGCCGTGTTAAGTCAGTACATGACCATCACACCGACTGTTGTATATTCGTTCCCGTCGGACTGGTTTCGACCCACGGTTTGCGTTAATCGCACTATATACTAATCATACCACCGTACGCTGGACCCGACGCCCACTTGTACGTTCAAGGGATAGATTGTTATATAGATATATAGTACTTTCTTAATTGTATTATGTACCCGATAACTTTTGATGTTAATTAATTCCGCAGCAACAACTACTGAGTTTAGATAGCTTTAAATGAAATAGAATTTAAATACTATAGTATTTATTCAATTATAACACGTTGTTTTACAAAATACATTTGATTTAAGAGGTTTAACCGACACCATATTTAGTTATGTGCTGGCAACACTAACAATTGTGTTTCTGTACTGGTAACACCTTGTCGCGCCATAAAGGTACGCTTTTGAGACAATTGCATCCAATTTCCTGGTAATGCTTGTTTAATAGACAGCGTATACATTAATGATTGTGGAACGCGTCACTTGCTTTATATCAATATAGGCGATGGAAATAGAAACACTTGGATACTAATTGAGAAATATTGATTCACATATCAGTTTAAACGATTAATAAAGTCTTGTGATCCATTAAGAAGATACGTCACAAATAAATAAAAATAATATTACAGAACAAATCGATTATTTCATAGAGTTTTGAAACTTCTAGCAAAATCATTCAATGTATATATTTTTACTACTAACAAAATATATAATCCATCACTAAAGATTTTCTCCAAATCATGAACATAAAACGTTAAAATTATATTTTAAATTTTCTATAAATTAATTTGTAACTTCATAATTTATAACTTACTTTCGTTAGATAAAACGTTTATTTTAATTTGTAATAATAAGTTACAGAAAAACATTTAGAAAACGTCAAGATATATTCACATACGGAATGATATATATACATAAATATATATATGAAAAGTTTTTTGAATGTCCAGTTAATAAAAATGTTATAAGGAGGTCGCGTCAGCCCTCAGCCCGGGTCCTACATCATAATATTTTGACACTTCACATCTTAAAAGGTTCCCCTCACTGATGGATGTTTTGACGTAATAACTCGAATCAGATTCTATAAGATAATAATTTTATTAATACATATATATGTATATATAGTTACAATCTCCTCATATACATAGATAAATCATTTTATTAATATGCTCGTGTACATTAATGTTTAACTTAATGCTATGAATATAAACTGGTTTAATAGAAATTCCATGTTTATGTTCAATGAAATGCATTCCCGCCCCGCTAAAGGTCACCTCTATATTATAATGATTTACAACAATAATTTTATTGTTAATAAATTATAACCATAATAATATAATAATAATAATCTTCTATAACGTTATATAAACAATGTCACGTGTATACGATTGTATGAATCATTCAAATAATAGGATGGTTCAACCTTGTCATTAGTTCAGCTTATATCATTGACCCTTTATCTTATTCGGACTCTGTTCGGACATTAACTTCATTAGAGCTCCTAAAGTGTCCATCCTCGCCTCCATACTATAAACCCACCCAAATCCTGCTTCACATAAAATTTTACTATCCATAAACGACGTAATATAGTTAAATATCAGATCCCTGAAGCCTCCGCTTCTCATTGACAATACATGACCCGGGATCCAGTTAAATTTAGCCCAGACAGGCCGTGAGTGTAGGTTGTGAATTGTAAAATAAATATTTATTGAAAATTAAATTCAAATGTTATATAAAGGTCTTCGGAGTGTTTGAATTTAAATATTGCATGAGTTATTGTAATATTAATAAATTGATTTAAATAGTTCTTTTTGTTGTTTAAGTAGATAAAATTTAACTAAAATGTTAAGACAATAATCACTGTAATTTCCCAAAATGAACTGATATGATGCTATAAAATGAGGTTCATAAAATAATTTAACTTAAAATTCTAATTAATATAATAAAATAATATGTAAAATATAGTATATGTCATATTAAATAAACATACAAACATTCAAATGTAAGTAATATTTTTTATAGTAATATTATACATAGATAGTGTTATTAAATATTATTAATAATAAAATTTAAGACATACAGTGCGAGTGTCACCCACGCTTTAATACTGTAGAACCATAAAAAGGTAACACGGTAGCAGAATTTTATTTAAATATCACATCTTTATAATAAAAATTTTATATGATGATATCAAAAATTTATGATATAGATTATTTTTATTATATTGAAAATCTTCTACCTGGCAATTTCACAGCTTTAACCAGGTCTGCCTTACAAGTTGTGAATAGTTTTGGCTAATTGTTTTTACGACCGGCCGCCTGCCTGACATCAACTCTCTTTGGGGATGAAATTATAATTGTATTAAATTTATCTTATATTGGAAATATTCTAATAATGATATGGTATTATAAGACTGTATTAATAACATATAATATTTATTTTCATGTTATAACGAGAGGCATGCTGCTTCGCTAATTGTAGGGAGCGTATTCGACTTTATGAGAATGGTTGATTTGATCAGGAATATTTTGTTTATGACCCGCGGTGTTACCACTGTGTATAATTAGAAGCGACTATTACCACTCTATGGGGTATCGGGGGATTTTTATGTTTAATATTACGTACTCTAGTCTCACTGGTTTTTTATATTATACGTACGTTCCCAGCACGTTGTTAATTGAATTATGTAAAAAAATCATATATATATATAAATAAACTGTCTAATGTTATGTGTCCGTCTGTTATGAGAAAGTTGTATTTATATTCTTTGTATGACATTTATATTAACAAAATGATTATTTTTATGATATTTATTTTGTTTCTGTCACTGTCTTAAACGCTTGAATGGATTTCGGTAAGACTAACTTGCAGACAACTGATTTATTTGTATAAAAATATGTATATGTATTGAACGTGGTCATAACATTAATGATTCACAGATTTGAACATTATTAACGCGACAAAATGAAACGTATTTGATTTCTTAATAAAATAACATTAATTTATATAAATAAATATAATTACAAACAATATTTAATTAAAAATAATACTTAAAAATGTATGTTATCCTAACAAATTTTGCATGTTAATTAAATAAACATAAAATATGATAGCAATGTAAAGAATGCCCTCGATTAAAATAGAAGTTTTAATTTAATACCAGAATAATATACATTTTTATTTAATTATATGTAAATTATAATTTTTCTTTAGTATCATAGTATATATTATGTATAGCTATTTGATGCTGTTTTTGCTTTGTGTATGTTTGTCACGTCTGTAACAGTGACAAAACTAAACTCAGTTCATTACTGACTATAAGCCAATTAGATGTTTAAAGTTTTATGAATATAATATTTTAATTTAATATCAGATACCGCTGAAGCGAGCCGTTATAACTGTCCGGAGCGTCCACTGAATATATTATAATTGATACGTGTTAATTACGATTTATATATTCATAAATATGTATAATTATAGAGAAATGTCGCATGGACTGTTTGAGAGATTATTGATATATGTTGATTACGATAGGTATACGATATAATTAATGATATGATATAGAGAGAGAAATGTGTTATACGAGATAATGAAATTAATTCCTTACGTACGATTCCTTTAATAATTATAAAGTAATATTTCACTAAAGGACACGTGGTATTAAAAATGGTTCACCAGAATGACACCTCGGATGTAAACCGAACAGAATGTGAATCAATTTGCCGTTACGGGCGGAGGCACTACCTGGCCGGCCTGCCTTTTTTTTTGGTGGGTGCCGCCTGATAACTAGGGTCGCCGGTCGGGGCCAGTGCGCGGGCGCAGCTCGACACGACCGCGCGTCACTCGCTGTACAACACACCACACAGGTACACACCTGTAGCCTTACAATATATACTGACAGTGTGTTCGCCTTACGTTGACTTACGTGTCTGTGCGTCTATACGGTTGTAATTATTATTATGGTCAAAATTATTACAGTGTCGCCTTTGTTTGAATGTAAATCGATGTGAAAATATCCCCAAGGTTGTGTTTAATTAATTGTAACGTACTAGAGTATTGTATTCGGTGCAAACGGGACAATAATAAACATTGGACTTTAAGCATTTTTTATTGTTTATATTCTGAGTTAGAACATTTTTTTAACTTATCATGACTTCAAATTCAAATGTTATCGTGTGAGTAAAGTTTAAACCATAAATAAAAATGTTTTACAATCCAAAGTGACTCAAGTGCAAAGTTAGTGACTGAATTAATATTCGTTTATAAAGTGTAATCGCTGTTATGTACCTTAAGATGTACATAAAATCTGAGAGGTTCTACCAGCAGCCTGACAGCCAGCCTCTGAAACACGAGGACCGCTTCTATACTGACTATGATGAAGAACTTGATGAACGTACGTACACAGACATATATATAATAAATATAATGTTTTGTGAAAATATCTTAGATAAAGATCTTCTTCTTCATCTACCTGGCAATTTCCCAGCTATAGCCAGGGTCTGCCTTACATGTTGTGATATAGATCTTGAACATATATGTATATATATTGTGGTTATATTTTATAACTGTATTTATATATAGTTAGGGATATAGATCGCTTATCTCAGACCTGGTATCAATGCAGGCCATTGTTGTAAGTGTTATACAATACAGTATTTTCTTTCAAATATGGGGCGGTCCTGGGGCTCGTTACCATTGTGCTGAATCGCATCTGGTGCTCGGAAACTGGAGTAATTATGATGCTGATTTAAATTAAACTTATATTTTTCGGATTATACTACGCGAATTTATTTTTGTAAAAAACTGCATACTCCCGAAGTTTCGGCTACTTTCCACATCTCGACTGCCCGTGATCATGGTTGCTGAAAATTAACCGAAACGCCGGTAGTATGTAGTTTTTTACAAAAATAAAGTCGCGTTGTTTAGTCCGAAAAATATTAGTTTCATTTAAGTGAATAAAACTCGCGAAAATCTTAGGTCTCATTATTAGATGCTGATGTTTAAAACTATGTTTAAGATGCGTTTTATACTACGAGGAGGAGATCAGTCGTGGTGTGTTTAAGAAGAGAGACGTTAGCCAATTGATTTCTAATTATATATAAATATTGACTTTGTCGTGTTGTCTCTACAATAAATTTAATTTACAACCAATTAGTTTCAAACATTCGTCGACATGGAGTTTTCAATTTAACTCAACGACAGTTTAGAAATTCATGGATGTCATAAGTTTAGTATTTAGTTGAATTAACCCATAAAGTTATTATTTATGGGTGAGAGATAATTGTTTTAATAAACTAACCTCATAATTTCGTCGTGTTTGCTCGCATTTAATTATAATTTTCCGGGTTACCGTCCATGTTAATTGAATGTCATCAAAATTGGTTTAGTCTGTTCATATATAACGTTTATGTATATTATATTAATTTCAGTTGGTAGTTCTTGTTATACATATAAATCGTTTTCCCCTAACAGTATTTAGAAGCGTGTGTGTATCGCGTGCGCACGTTGATGTCTTTCATACTGTACGTAAGTCGCTACGCTTTCTTTAGTCCATTTAAATTGATGTGGTGAGAGGTTCAGCTTCAGGATGTATTGATGTTTCACGTGCGATGACACTATGACTATTAGTTTTTATTATTAAAAATTTATTTTATAATGATTGTTATACATTTTCACTTTGTGAAACACTTCAAAACATTTTATTATCATTTATGAAATACATCTTTCTGATCTTGTAGCTGTATCTTGTACCTGAGGTTTTTATAGTTTTCATACTAAGTCATCAAACTATAGTTAGTACATAATAGTATATATCTTATATATTCTCTAAAATAGGCGGGTTAATGAGTTATATTGCTAAATATTGTTCTGTAACAAATTTAACGAATTCCGTTCCTCGTGAACATTAAAAGGGCAGTTTTTTTTTTAATAATCCCTACTTTCACGTACCCCAAACCCTAAGTCGGTAACAATAGACTGGCGAGTGACTCAAGGATGGCCAATTAACGGATGAAGGTAGCAACGGTGAAATGAAACACTATTACGGATGGATAGTATGAAAAGATAAATAAATATATTATTGTTTGAAAAGATGAGTATTATGTAATCCCGTACTATGAGAAAAACAAAAAACTTAAAGTAAGGAATGCTTAATATTATTAATATTTAACTCTCAAATAATATTCTAAAATTTCATCAATTGATATTATTAAATTATTAATTAGAGACGATAGTGAATGGAAATATGTCGCAAACTTAAATCAGAATAAAGGAAAAAATATATCGACCTGATGAAGTATTGTAAGATAGACACTCACGAGAACGACATTTAAAAGGTCAGAGGAATGTGTGATACTAATTAACTATTTATATATTAATAACAAACACTCACACATGTGTCTTATGGAATATAATTATCATAATTTACATTTATGACTATGAAATTGTTTCATTTAAAGGAATATACGAATTTATCTATGAGTACCTATATACTTATTTATTATTTATTTATTTTTATTTTTTTGCTACACACATACATTATAATAATATATTATACAGAAGAAAAAAAAATTGTAAGGGGGTCCATCTCAGTATAAGCTGTGCTAATGCACAGCACTGATTTTCAGATGGCCCCTGAATATTGGGTAAACAAAACACAAATGCGAGCAAACGAAAATCAATAAATGAAATTATAAGTAAAAAAAAATAAAATTATACGGTTAGAACTATGCTGGAGCGAATCGAACCGAATATGTTTTAACAAAACTGTTTCGTTTCTCGTATTCCATCTCAAGTCCAAAGTAGGGACTAATAATACAATAACTTTTAAATATTTACAATTCATTGAACAGTTAAAAATCCCCAAAAGCGAAATGTTCCCTTCCCACACAAATGCAAATATAATAGGCTGCAATAGATTTTTTTTTCCTCTCAACCAGGGTGAACCTTACTCATTCTGCCGGTTTCACCCCAATACATGTCCCGACTTGACAGTACAGAGTTACATTGAAAAAAAGGAGAATATCTTGCAAAGGAGCTGTCACACGATAATCAACCGTTAATACATTACAATAAGGTGTCACAGCTACTCAGTAATTAAAGTTTAATTTTGCAAAGTTAAAAGCATCCCGTAATTCCGAGAAAGGACAATCATTGTATACCTGACCGTTAAAAAAAAAGTGCAGGTAAAATTGACCTGTAATTTTTCCTTTATTCCTTCTAAGAGCAGGAAATCGCGACAAAAGCCTTTTGGTCACGCAGAGACTTAGCAGCGTTATATTGTCAGGTATCGAATGTGTTTATTACCGAGTGCTCACACACAGTACACAGTCAGAAATGTGTTCATTTCACAACCTACTATATATATCATATATAAAGATTGAGACATACTATTCATTAGAAACTGTTAATTGTGCACACAACGAACGGTTCAAATGTTAAACTTTGTTCGTTGTTGATTTAATGACACCTTTCATAATAACTTAAAGCAAACGAAAATTATACGGATTATGTTTTATGACATCTGAAAAAAATATATAGATGCTGGGAATCTTAATTTTATTGTTTCCTAAAGACCGGTTTTTATAATAAAATTTCTTAATATACCATGATGGGTATTATTCATCGGAGATTATTTAACGATCCATCGATACGTTGGATGTGCATGAATATATTTTGTGGGGGCGAGGTCTGGTTGGCTGTTGGATGTCAGAGGTCGGAGGTCGGAGGTCAGGGTCGCGGGGTGAGCGAGGTCGTGGGATGCCATCACCACCTCTGACATTAACCGCGGCAACGTCCCGCTGTCGTCTCTACAGCATTGTTTTTGTTTCAATAGATATATCTACATTTATAGCAACTCGTAAAAAATTTATATTAAAAGGTACATCATTACCTTATGATATTTGAAATTATTATTAAATATGCTAATTGTAAGACAGAATTATATGTATTATATATTTTTATAATCGTATTTCACTGCGCTTTCTTTTATGTTCGCCTTCATAAATTAACCTGATATTTATTCACTAAATGTACATTAATATTCGTTGAATATATCTTTATATTAATTTATTTATATCCATTATTTCCATTTACCCCCGGCGAGGTCGACCCGTACGTCGGGTCATAGCTCACAGTTAATGCAAATATACTAATTACTGATTCAGTCCGAACCTTCTTTAGAAAACGGATACTCGTTCAGAATTTAAAATCTGTTTCTCTATCTACGTCTTATTTATAATGATACCATATATAAATATGTACAAGAAGTTGATACTGTTTCATAATATATATAAAAAAGACTTTAGTGTTTTGATTTCATGTTTATATTTGTGTACTTGTCAACTCTTAGTTCTAGTGCAATGTTAATAACTAGAGAACAAAAAACTATCGGATAAAATATCGCTTATATTGTTACCGTTTTGATATACCTAACCTTCACGTTCCTTCAACAAAACATAAGGTGAATAATATCTGTACAGTAACATAGAACCACCGACAGTAAATCATAAATATTGACGCCTAAGAAAGCACCTGCCCAAGAACTTAACTGTTAACAAGTCATTAAAATCCCGACTGGTTCGATGTTTGGTTTTAAACAAAACTTTGTACTTGTGGGACAAATATTAGTTTTAGTGGAGGTGACCTCTTGACGACCTCTCGATGGTACGACCACGATGTCTATCGGCACAGACTATCCGGTTTGAGTGGTGGACTTACATACTTAATTGAGTGGAGAGCTAGCGCGTGGCGTAACACGCCCGGCTTGAAGTTGACGGTCAATAAAAATGTACTGCTGTCGGCTACCATATATATATATACATTATTATCTAACAATAGAAGCATCTAGTTTGTCTTTATTTTGATTTGATGTATAATATTTGTACGTGTACATTTTGATCATACTATCCATATTATCATCGTTTATTTTATCTACTCCCAAACCGCTACTATATATTTCAAAATGAACTGACTGATTCATCTGAGTGCATGCCAGTCGCTTGACTAATCTCTTTACAAGTTAAATGTCCACGTATCTAAGTGTGTCCATCTGTCGTTCGTCGCAGGTGGTGGGTGGTGGGTGGTTGGTCTCTAAACACACACGACGTGTTTGTGTACAGACGAACGGACAGTGTCAACAGTGAGACAGGTGGAATGGATCGAGCTATACTCACTATATATATAAGAAGATGAACTTCTCATATACTTTGATACATACAACGGAACCACTGTAGGTGTCAATTGTATTTATAATGAAAAGATTTTTTGGATACTATAAGTTTAGGGTTCGCTGAACGCAATCAATCATACTTAACAAAGAAACTAAGGAATTGATTTTAATATAATATAAATGTCAGTGTTTGTGTGTACGACGTACAAATATTTATACTTGTAATGCGTGCACCCGTTGTCCTTGATCTTGCGGGAGGTCAAACAGATACACACACACACACACACACACACACACACACATATATATACATATATATTTATATATATGCATACACGTGTAATGAGATTTTTTTTCATCCCGTATTGGATTTTTATAAATAATTACAAAAGAAAAAACTGGTAGCGCTGCCTCGTGCCGCTCTTCTTTTGAACTTGAAAGTGCTCATTAAATTTAATTGCCGGTAATTAAAATTATTCGAACGATTAATAAAAATCGATTTTATTCATTATTATTTTGGCTCTCGTGTTTTAACAATACGTACATATCAGATAACCTTTGAGATTCCTACCAAAAAAAACTGTATCTTTAAATCTTCAACTATAATGACTGTGATGTTGTTAAGGATGTATTAACGGTAATGACTTTGACCACAAGATGTATGATACGAATATTTGTTAATATAATAATATTTTTCGAAGTATATCTGTAACCTTCTGGTAGGTAGATGACAACCCACGCCTCTCGTCACTCGCAACAAACACATATACATTGTCGTTTATATTTTCATTTCGCATGAAATGAGCACCTATGTATGTATGTGAAAACGTTTAGTTTTTGTTTATAAAGAATAATAGTTTTGTTATCATCATTATATTACACGTAACATGTAACATTTTATTGATCTCAGTTCAATAACTGACACTTTGTTAGCCCATACAACGAATGACGCTGCAAACAACGATATGTGAAATTAATTATAGTGTTAATATTCGTCACGACTGTAAGGATACATCGGAATGACAGATTAACAGTGATATTAAAGCGGATAAATTTGTAAAATTTTTCATATAATACACGTAAAATATATATATTAGTAATTCTAACGTGTACTTGATGATTACTTTGAACATTATTTATTTTAGCTTTCTATATCCGACGTCGGTTAATTTATGTTTTACATGATAATATCTTGTAAGATCATATTTGCTATCCATATGTTAAGTAATATTACAATACAATAATTGTATTTATGTTATGGAGTTAGTTTTGAAAGAGGCTCCGACCGATACCTAGCAGCCGGGAACTATCATTCATATTTCTGAGTAGGGAACTTCGAGATTCATTTAAATTAGAATATGTATCGTATTATAATTAATAATTAACCGGTTGACAACGTACTGACCGTGACTTGTCCGGACCAACGACATGTCTAATTATTGTTTTTTTTTTGTTCTATCAACGATCTTATCATACATAATTAATACGAACACCACGGCCAGGGTTTCTTTATAAAGAATGTCATTCCATTATTATATATTTCATTATCTTTATCTAGACCGGATCCCCTTCATAGAATGTTTATTCGTCCAGTTTGGTCAAGTTTCCGGAGCGTAATTTAACTTTTATTACGCCATTGGATTTCACCTTAACTCACCGGGTAACGATCTCATACAGAATTCTATTACCCGATGAAAACAGACGCCATTAAAATGGACATGCTTAAAACTAAATCACACTCAGATGCTGGTGGCTGGACCAATTACAACGACGGCGATTACAACTTATGAGCATTAGTTGATACGTAGACGAAACGGTGGCAGTTAGTGTATATACTTAAACATTTAACATAACATATATAATATTTAATATATAAAGATTATTTATTTTATATTTTATTTATATCTGAATTCATTTAAAATAATAAATTGTTTTAAAACAAATATAATAGGAGGACGTGAACGCCAAGTTCTGTTATAACAAATAGTCTCTTATTTCATATAAAACATTCTGTTTGTTTAAGAGCACTTAGCAGTTTGATTAATAGAAATATTGATAATGTTCCTTACAAACTTATCTGTTTGTTCAATAAAATTTAATGAAACATTACTAAATATGATGTAATTCATATGTTTTATTGTCACAGTAAATGCGCTATAAACATTTTCAATACATTTAATATACATAGGTATATATTTTTATAATAACATATTATAAATGAAACATGTATCAGGTTCCCGAAATATAAATAACTTGTTATTAATAAGGAAAAGTTGGTTAAATTTACCCCGTCCTTTTATTCAGACAGCGTTAGAGACTACGTAATAATTTATGTTTAATATCCTAATAGGAGATATTAAATTATTCAAAATATCAACACGCTTTTACTATTGAAATCGTGCTTTGTAGAATGAATGTGGATTTTAGTTTGTCATGTCAGCGGATTGTTTTACTTGAAACTCGATATGGTATTTCTGGAATCATGAAATGTCTACATTTGTACCGTAATATAACATTGATGCGCCTGTGAATAGTTTATTGTTAAAGACTTTAATTATGTCTAGTAATATATCGACATAGCCATTTGTTCCAGTACATAATAATGTGGTAGTCAGTAGGTTTCGTATTTGTAAGCGGAGCCGATCACTTAGTCTGTCTGTTTGTACTCCATTCGGGTCAGGTGCCAACGGTACCTCGTTTGACGACGCTGCTGACCCTACCAGATATGTGTTATGAGAGGAAGCGAATACATATATACATAATATATACATAAAATTAATTATAACACGAAGAATATTTGTGTGTAATATATTACTTTTAACAAATTATATCCATCCATCCATGTTATACACTCTCATGATACTTTAATTTTATTTATATTTACTCTTTATATAAATTATTTTTAATTTTATTTATTAAATAAAAGTAAAATATATTATGTATTTTTTTTTCGTTTCGTTTGAAAAGTTTAATACTTGTAACACTCGTATATCTGTAAAGTCATAGTTCATAGGCACTAAAACAATGAACACAGCTCCGAGCTAAGCTTAATTGAGTTCCTGCCAACTATTCAATGTTTAACTACTTAGTATATACTATAATATATCTAACATACCGAACAACAATTTCTATTAACAGTGCCTACATAATCTTTTATACACTTCCTAGTTTATAAAAAGCTATATATAAGATGAAATGCATTAAAACGTTTCGTCCATAGATCGATCGACTGAATTACGATGTATAATAATTATTACCACTATAAAATATTAATAAACAATGAACGTTTAAATAAACCTGTTATGTACATGTACGATTGTAAAATAAAGTGGTGCCAATGAGACTTTTCGTTCTAATATCGAAGTAAACACTTGGAGGTATATATGTTTTAGTTTTTTTTGTTGTTGCAACATAACGGCGACCATTTCCTTTGATGTAATGTCAATCGACAGGTGACCTAACAAGTTTTGGCGGCGGAAGACATCGCTCATAGAAGGCCGTGACGCCTCTCTATCACATCCTGTGTAAAATTCTCACAATTATCATAATTATATTATAATTTTTATATAGCTGAATTTTTAATAACTTTGATTAACTATGAGCAATCTTATATTAAAATTTAGGCTATCATAATTATAATAAGTACTATATAATGAAATGTTTCTGAATTCTGTTTTTTTTTTGTCTAAATATAAATATACGTCCATGTATAATGTAGTGAAATATTAAATCTACGTCTGTGGTCCGTCGTTGTGTATGAAATCGAAGCAGCCGATACAATTACAGATAAGTGTCAAGTAGAAACTGATAGAGCCGTCTCAACGCCAACGTTAGGGGAACAATATACTCCCGGCATCGTTGTAATAATGTATGCATAGGATCTCTATAGATCGCGTCAATGTGAAATAATTTTCCCATAACACAGGTTATATTATGGTATTGGCTATGTGGACCCATTGTGGACCATATTGGTCGATATGAATAGGAATATTAATAAATGGACTCGTCTAAAGAATAAATGATACCAGCCCGTTCAGATATCTTAAGTAGCTTTGTTTATAGAAAGCTCTCTCACTGTATTATGTTGTTTCGATAAACAATGCGTAGTCCGGGTACAAATGATCTGACAAAATGAGACTGCAATGCTATAAATACGAGTATCAAAAGTTATCATACTACATATAATAGTCAACTGAAGACGTTGAAGAAGCATTGCTGTATTTATTTACAGTTGGCGTTTTACTAGAAATGTATAAAAAGACAAAATATTGACTCGTTAGTGTTCGAAAACTTAAAGATGAATTAATAGATGTAGGGCCCGGAGCAGTGTGTCAGTTTCACACAATTCATCACGCATGATATATATGTGAACATTTACGAGCTTGCGCAACAAACTGCGACATATTTCGTTGGATGAAAGTGGATGACCTACAAAGCTGTGCCTAGTGATACTTATTAGAGGTTATTAAGGTGGATGATATCTCTGAATGTAATGAAGAACGTCCGCCGTGTCAAGAATTCGACTTTCTTTAGCCAATTACGTGTTAAGAAAACGAATATCTGTCGTTGCTAAGATAAAATATCGGTACAACTTTATGATAAAATCTCTTGATTACGGGCATAATTTTTTTTACGAAAGTGCGAATGATACGAACGAATGACCCCCAAAATAATTCTAGCCGGTGATGTGTTACGTGACATCTGTACCCGAGCCGCGTACGGTCATTAATTTTACAAGATCGCTCTAAAGATTGTGTTTGAGTAAGTGTATCGCGGGGTTAACGCGACCCGCCTCCTCCGTGTCACTACAAACACGCCGACCGATGTTGATCTTGATGCCGAGATGACACGACTATGACCCTCGCGGACTGACGTTTTTATACAACGTTTATATTTTGCGTAATGAAGCAACCGGATTCGATCCATTTGTGGCTTTTTTTATGTTGCCATCTCCGTCATAAATGCGTACCAAAAAAGAAGTTGAACTAAACCATATGGTATAAAATTATGATTGATGGTATCAGGAGGCGAATTGATTTATGAATGATCGTGTTATAGGATATTATTGTATGTTTGTATATCTAACCATATTTTGTATGTCGTTTGTATCAGGTGAGGGCGGAGGCGGGGGCGCAGCGCGTCGTTGTGCGCGCGATGCGTCGTCGCCGGCGCAGGCGCACGCGCCGCCCGCGCCGTCCGCCGCGCACGCAACACATACTACACACACAGTTAAGAGCGAGAGACTCAGCCCGCACGACTCGAATGCTTCCAGGTAAAATATAAGAAAAAAAACGGGTCTACGACAGATGGCTAGATAGATAGTATTACAAATATGAGAAGGTGACTCTAAAACAAAAAATATCAGTATTGCAGAAGAAATCAATTGCTATAAGAGCTGTTACAAACTATTGATGTAAAGTTGGTTGAATTAAAGCCTATAGATTTATATATAAGCCCTGTTTCATGTAAGTAGAAATGCTGCAGCCATTTAGCAGCTGTATTGTCGATTATTATTGTTTATAACTTATACATACAAAACTCCTCAAAGGTACATGAACCTAGTAACCTATGTAACACGTCAACCCCTTAGATCTCGTAGCGTGACTCCGTCGACCTCCTCATACCCGGGTACCCCTCCGGAGCGAGGCAGCCCACAGGCGCCGACGCCGGTTCCCGCACACCCCCCGAGGAACTACTCGGACATCATGCGCTCACTGGCAGCGAGGTACAACACGCATCCCAACAACGAGTGAGTATATTAAAAGAAACTTTCTGAGGAACTCTTTGGTATAGTGTCTTCGTCATCATTATACCATCGCTCTACTCGCCGTAGGGCTGAATTTCATCCACATCACTTAAATGCATTTATTTAGACTGTACGTGCTTCGCGGTCATTTTTTCCACGCAACATGCAGGATGTAGAATGATTTTCCACCCGAGGTTATATAAAAAAGACATGTAAAGATGAATGTAGATCCAAAAGTGAGGGTAATTTATGTGAGCTAAGCAACATCCATATACTGTAATTTCAGAAGAAAATCCCAAACGAATATGGAAAATAACAAGTACCCAGTTTGGATTGTTAATGTAGCAATGGTGTTATTTATTTAGTTTATCGTTAGGTCGTATTAGAAACCTTCACAGAGTTAAAAGTATGTTGAAAGTTTATATAATTTAAGATTAGGCTGAAGGATCATTTGTTTAATTTAAAGATATTGAAAAAGTTAACATTTTTTATGGGTAGGTAGTATTAGAATTTCTGTATAAGTTGATTATTGAATGAAAAATTATTGAATGAATCAAAATACTAGGGCTACGTTGGTTAAACTAAAGCAATATCCCACAAGTATTTTAGAATCCTAATCTGTTGATAAATGTTTCATTATTATTTTAATTATTTTCTACAACTATATTAAATATAAATCCATTTAAATTTTATGAAAGTCCCGTTAGAGCTCATGAAAGCGTTCTCTTTCAACTAAATTAGTAATAATAGATTATTAAAACATATATTACCTCACTATAATAGTATAAATAGGTAAAACAAGATTGACATTAAAATCCATGCGAGCAAATGGCTAACATTAACATTATACATTTAATATATATAATGTGCAATTAGTACTCGTGAAAGATGAGAGTACGTACGTTATACACGATAGTAAAGAACTAACTATGTGCTTTAAGGACATAAACGGAATAATGTATACAGAGTGTTCCCTTAAAGATGGGCATTAAATTCAAGCAGTGGGTTGGCATTGTATATGTCGCCATTAGCACCACACCTGACAACGTATCTCACGGGTTAAATGGAGCCGGGTTGTTAATTCACTATTAAAAGTCACTTGTCTATATATAATCGATGTGGCTTTTTTTTTCGTTATTATATTTTACCGTTTAAAAAGCAATGAATTCCAGTGTGCGAGATAGCGGTGATCGTAATCACAACAGCCTGTACATAAACAAACCGCTTTATTTGTACTGTCGTCAAAATGGAATAAGCGCTGTTAGTTGCTAGGAAATGCAAGGCAGTATCCGCTTTCATCGTTGTTTGTTCTTCAGTGGACCAGCAAGATTTTGTAGGTCTTCGTAGTTTATTTTGTGATTAGTTAGTTAGTTTCTTCTAATATCAACCAAATTTGGGAATATTTTAAAGAACATGTTTTTATGATACAATTGTGTATATTATTTTAATTAAAATGCTCTCAGCCTCGAGATTTTGAGGATACATTCTCACAACAATAATATATTGTATTATTTATATAACAGGTTTCGTATTTTTGTTTAGAAGGCTTTTTATATTTTTTATTTATTTTAGCCATACCTGGAACTTACGATCATTTTTTTTTTTTTTTTTTGATGACGTAGTGGAAACTCTTTTTACGAGCCGTCCAACCTTAGGAACTTAGGATCATTAACGCAATACAGACTAATATACATATATAGATTAGAACATAAATATTCATCAATAAGTAACCTACGGATATGTACATATATTGTGAGACTAGTAATGTTAGCACAGCCCCCTTATCAGTGACGTAATGAAATCAACGACGTCATTAACAGTTAGAGCTGAGTGCATTGATTATAATAATCGATATCGATATTAAGATTCACAACAAATTTTTCACACGGCCGGTGTCAACTCGTTCACAATATCATGCGACTTCGGTTCACCGACCGGCTAGTGATGCCCAAATCGATTTGCATATTAATCGATTCGATAACTTACGTTAAGTCGACAAATTTACATGATTCGTGAGAACGCAGCCGTCCGCGTGAACTTATGTTATATTAATGAATTGCTCATCTCACGGCGTGCGGTCGGTGACCTGTGTCGATTTTAATTATTTACTAGTTAGTCAATGGTAGCTGAGACTGACAGACACTCTGGTGCTTATGCCCAGTTGAATTTTATATTGTTGACTTTATCAATAATATTAAATCAAACTACGCAGCGATCCCCACGAGACTGACGTTGCGGTCAAAATATTTTTATTAATAACTCAATTTATTATAGAACTTGATTTTTTTTCTAACCTTCTGACATTTCATAAAATTCTGCCGGCCCGGAGCACTAATGAAGTCCATTATGTGGCTTGTAATTATATTAAGAGGTTGTGAAAGAACGTTGTTAAGAATTCGGTTGGTCCATTAACATTACATTTCAGATCAATGTTAGTCGGAATTTAATTCGTTACCTTCTGTAATAGATGATAAATTATTGTAGACATCGAAAGTTAACATTCATTACGTACCAATATTATTGTAATATTTTTTTAATAGAACTTCTTAACTACCGGTACTCTGTTTGTTTTGTTTCATAACAAGCTATGACTTATATTATTTATACTTCAATATTTATCTTATTTATACGAAACAATAATCAATTAGCAATATCTTCATTAAAGCAATTAATGAATATACTTTCATCTTTTATTTCATTTAATCATTTTCACAACGGTTATTTTTGTTGTAGCTATTTCCATCGCACTAACGGTTTTGGAGTCGAACGTCCATCACCAGTTCCAACTGATATCAGTGATGTACCGGTTGGAGGGTTGTTTGCGAAGCTTGCCAAGCAGCAGGGTGGCCCGCCGAGGCTACCAGCCTTCCCCGTCATGTTGGACATGAGCTCCACCAAGGTAAGAAAAATAAAACTTGATATCAATTATCATGTCAAGAACTTCTAGACATCCCAAGAACACATTAAATTTCTCAGTACACCTTCTATCACACATTGTTTTAATCACGAGAGGTTGTTTGTTTGAGGAAGAGGACATTTCGTTACATTAAATATTCCACGCATCATAAACAATGCCTTCCTAATGATACCTTGAATGTTAATAAGTGTTTAAGTAATGTGTGCCATGAACCGGTAATGGTCCAGACATCAGATGACCCGTACTTGTATATCCTTATTTGTTTTTAACCTTTACAGCAGCCCACCCAAATCGCAACCAACAATACATGACCGTAATCGAAGCTAATAATTATATCGCATCTTTTAAGATTGGATGATGAAACTTTATTGCTTTACAAAAAATTACGTATAAAGAATATATATAAAAAATATGTTGTTTTACAATATCCGTTCATTAGAACGTAAAGCACATCACTTAAAGCAATGCCACTGCCCCTATGAAATAATTTACGCTCAGCTGGCTCCTCATTTCATAAGCAAGTAAAAATTCATTACTTATTATTTATTCTGTGCTCACTGACCTTCCAGCTTTAATTACACATCTATCTCCACGTTTCATAGTTCACGGTTGTGATTAAAATGTCTCGGACGTCGTAAAACTCGTGCGCTATCTTCATATAGATCTATCGAATGCGGCTACGTTTATGTTAATACGCCTTTGGATTCATAACGCAGCGAGCACGGCTCCCTGCTATAATAATGGTGCCTATTAAATCAGATAAGCTGCGCGACCTTTACACTTACCATAACGCTGATAGGATGCGGAGAGTGTTAATTGCAACAAGTCGTTTGGGGTCTTCATAGTGAACAGGTACAAACATGGGGGTAATGGCTTTACCTCCCCCCTGACCCTCCCTAGTGCCGTCTTCCCCCTCCCCCCTCCTCGATCCTCGGCAGCGAACCGTCTCGACTCTCCGTTCTGTAAAATGAACTGGAGCTGCACTAATTGGCGGTGGCACGCGCTGCGCATGCGCCTCACGCCACTACATAGGTTGTGAAATCGTACTCAGATAGTTTCTTATAATTTTTTTTTGATCGAAATGAAACCTCCATTTAAATGAATGTATGAATGAGATGATACATTATTTTTATTTTGTGTAGACATCGTTTCAGACGTATATTGTTGAGGTAGTAAATATAATTAAATTTAAACGGTGATAATAATTGTAATCGTGATGTATCAAGTGGTCGGTGGTTATAGTTACAATAGTGTTTACTTTCTAAAGTCGCTATCACTGTAACACCATCTGACACTTGCTCGAGATATTAACATGATTTGTTACATTTCTCTTTGTACCTTTACACTATAAATAGCCGGTTTAAATTTATTTTCACCTGTGAAGAGAAACGGGAGCGAGCTCGGAAATAAATCTTGAGATTAATGACTTCTACCGTCCGCTGGCTGCCTGCACGCATGTTACAGACTGTTCATTACACGGACGTATGATTCGGAATTTCATTCATACACAGCTTTTGCGAGCTGATTTGTCTTAAAGATTAATACCTCGTACGTGAACATTTCATTATCTATACTTAAATAACCCCAATTATCTCTACCGTCCACGGAGTTACGCATATATTAAAGAGCTTGATGAATCCGGAGATAATAAAAATTTGATTCTACCAGTCTGACTGTGTCTTTTTTAGGTGAAAATCAACGTTTTTGCAGTTAGTTTCTCGACATATTAATTACAGCATTTCACGTTTTATTTAATTGCACGTACACAATTATAAAAGATATATTGCTGTTTGACCTGAACCGTTGAGCGTGAGTTCTGTGAATTATGATGGATGCCCGTCTCGTTTGATAATAGACGCTGGCTCCTGTTTGATTAACGCCGGCTTTAAAATATTATAATTAAACATGTACTATGAATAACACACACATACGTACACACATACACACACATACACGTAATTTGGTTATTGCAATACATATACGTATACTGCATATGATTTCAACTTTCAAGTGATTTTATTTTTGACATAGTCGTATTTGAATTAATATTATTTAGATTGAAAATTAGTCTTATCCATACATCAATTTATAGTTTAGTATTTTATGTTAATGCGATTTATCTGTATGTTAAATTCAACAGACTCTCCTGGCTTTGTCGAGGGTGGGTCGTGGTGGTAGGTCTCGTCGTAAGCGTGTTGGTGTGACGACCGCGGAACACTCTCCGTTGGATCTCTCCGCGGCCGGAGAGAGCGCCGCCAAGAGGGCCAGACTCTCCGCCAGCCCTAGTACGAGGAGCGACGGTGATGACAGAGACAGAGTCTCCAATGAAGGTATACTCAAACTTACGAAATATATGTATACTCTTTTCAATAAAAATTATCTCTTTATGTATAAAGTAATTCAATTTAAAATCATTCAATACCGTTACCGCTAACTGATTGAAAAATTGAATTAAAAATTTCGTCATATCCAGTATAAAGGATATTAATTCAATATCCGTTGATGTGAGTTTTATTAATAGGAAATACACACAGCCCCGTAATGAAAAACACATAACGCTGTATCGTAATTGAAATCGCTTTAAAATTGACTTCTTAAATTTAATATTGAAAAGCATATTATTAAACGATATGGAGATACGTTGACCGTATACCGTTTTTCTCAGATCGTGTTGAAGCACGCGAGTGTTTGTGCTCGGAGGCGAAGGCTCGACTCGCGGCCCTCAGCGTAGATGAAGTGTGTGACTTTGTAGCATCCATCGACATATGCGCGGAATACGCATCGGTGAGTCGATTTTTATATATATTTTTTATTTTTTTTTTTGTTTAGGTTTAACAAAGAGGTTTCAACTAAAGAGTTTTTAATCCAGTTCCAGCCAGTCATTAATGTTTTACGTCTAAATCGTACTTTGTTATTCCAATTACAAAATAATATCAAACGAAATGAGCCAGTAATAAAAACAACCGTTACAATAAATAGTACTATAGTTTCTGTCAGTAGGCATCAATTATATTTAATTGAACGAAGTTGCAAAACAAATAAATAGGAAGCAAGTGCTTATAATAAATATCAGCTAACTGTTTGATATGAAATGTGTAACATTAGAATTACTAATAGCAAAACAAAATAAGTTTTATTTAAAGAAATTGTAAACTATAGATTTGATTGATTATAAAGTGATAATCAGTGAAGATTGCCATGTTAACACACTAAATATTCGGTATTAAAAATTTAAAACTCAAATTAACTTCAGTAATTATACATTACGTTCATAAACGAGCAACAGTTAATTAGTATTACAATTTGTAATTGTAAACACATTAATTGTTTATTTGATTCCGAGTGAAAGGTACCGTGATGGGTACAATATACAATCATCATAACAATTAAAATAATTAAGTAATACAATTCTGTGTTACGCAAAATTTATACGTTTCTCTGATTTTGAAATCCGAGATCTCGTTTGCGGTGTTAAAGGAAATATATATAGTGCTGTGAGCTCTCCTGACAGCTCCTTCGTCCATTTTATATACCCAGCCGGCTATATATTAGTTGAACGTCATATCTATTATACCGCCGACACTCTGTAGCAGTTAAAAGTGTAAATTATTAACACCGGTAACATTCGCAGTAACTATGTTATCAATGTACATAACATTATGTCTGAATATAGTTTACTGTTCGATCTACACGAGGCCATTATTGAGATATTGATTTATGTCGTAGAATATCTTAAATTTGTGCACTAATAGATTGTCATATTACACAAGTTCAAATATGATCTGTGCAATCTTGTGCAACGAAAACGCTTTTGGCTAACCAACAAAGCCCGCCGTGATCCTAGACGGTAATAGCAGGCTTACCAACCTTACGAGCATGGCATGCATAATATCTGTGGCAACCATTGCAGACGTGGGAAACTGTTAGGATTTTAAATTTCCATAATATTTGTATAAGGATATTGCATAAGGTAAAGAGAGCAGCACGCAGCTTGAGCTCGAGTCTCTTAAGATGACGATAGCTTTTGTAACTTGATAATTTCTTATAATTTTGGTCTTTTTATACGACGTGTGTATGTTATCCCACGATATATTGCTTTATGGGTATCAAACAATCTCACCACTTCGAACATAAAATCTCTTCGCCGTAATATGACAATAAGTTTAGTCAGCTTTATCGCATAAGAAAATAATTAATTCTAGCTAATCAATTATTTAAACGAACCTTATTTTACTGCAGTCAAAAGCTATTAAAATATGATAAAATTTCAAATAACACTTTAATATAAATGTCTTTAATTAATTAAATGAAAATTTCTATTACTTTATAGCATATTACATTATTTCAATTTGCGTTTTAAAGCAGTATTAAAATAACATTTGTAATATGGGTCACAGTTGAAATGAGCAATATCTTAAGTCGTGAGCGACACCCACGTAGTGTCAAATAAATTCACCAATGCGGGTTCATTTTTCACCAAACCTCGTGATTTAATCTGACCCCGGTCTCGCAGCCCGGCACCATCCATCCCTCGTCGGCATCAAAATCTGCGCTTGCGCAACGCATCGTGCAACATCGCCATTGTGGAATGATTTAAATCGCACCCAACGTCAATACGTGCATTAATCTTGATTAGTTACATGTTAGGATATAATAATTTGAGGCATTCTAAACGTTTTGTGCTAAATGGTTGCGAATTACGAAACTTTATAGTTGCTTTGTAGGAAGATTTTCATATAAGGCTTTGACTGCCCGATGTCTGAGAACTGATTCATACTAATAATTGTTCAAAGCGCTGATCAAAATACCATTAATTATTATAACGATTTTCGTGAGTCTAGACACAATTTAATAAAATTATATTTTCCAATGACTAAAGACATATAGTTATCATCGTGTCTTTCTGGTTGCTATATAGTAATATAACGTTTAACCACAAAAAACACTTGTTTTGAACACTTCTTTTTGCCATTAAGTCTGTGGTCCAAATATTTTTTTTAGGAATTTTTAGAAAAGTTTCATTACGGTATCCTGGGTTTCTTAAGTCAAAAAAATACAGCACTAATTTCATTAACTCGTTGAAGAACTAGCCGTAGTCCTAGTGAACCCGCCGTTTATTTAAATACCCAATACAAAGTATGAATTGCATACAAATATGTAATTTAATTTATGAATACGGCTGATGAATGAACTTTAATATTTATTAAGTTAATAATAAATTTATGTTTATTAAATATAAAACGCAATGAATTTGTTGACTTCAATCAAACTGATGATAAATATTTTATCGACTTTTGCTTTATAAATTTTCCTAAACTATCATTTTCACTGATTACCTGAATTACTTACAATGTATGCCGTACACGAATTACTACCATAACTTTATATTGATAATTAATTAATCTTATTTAATGCTGTATAATATTATAGCTATACACAATAATATGTCCTGTAATCTTTACTAAGAATAAATTTACTAACACAACAATCTAAATGAATCAAGTCACGCCCTTTATAAAAATTCTGAACGCGTCAAGGAAGCAGTACCTATAATGGAGCAATACAAGACATCCTATGTATTGTTATATGGACTATAAACAAGAAATGCTCATATGTTTATATCGACAAATTGCTAAACAAAGATTATTAGGTATATAGAATTACATATTTTTCACAGTAATCAATTTTTTTTATTTTTCCTCTGGACTTGTAATAATCATATCAAAATATCTTGTAGGTTTTGTGAGGACGATATTTCCTCCATTACTCCATTTTGTGTTGACAAGCATTTTGTTTGTTTATGCTAATCTTCAATAAAATAATAAGTTTAACTTTATATAAATAATTAAGATCTAGATATTTTCCTAGTCTCGAAGACTGAGCACAATATTTTTGCACCAAAAACGCTGCGTCGATTTCACTTTCTCCAACTTTTAGCTTTTTGTTTTATTTGAAACGTTCAATAGACTTTTCGGTCACGGTATTCTCGTTAGAGTCCAAACTTGATTTTTATTTTCTTAATCATTGTTTTATATAATTTCTTAATATAAAAGATGTCGAGTTTGTTATTGATGTAAAAAGAGATCGTAAGATACGTTAATAATAACTTGCGGTTAAAAAAATGTACTTTCCTGTTCTCTGTTTAACCTTTAACGACGTTTAAACTCTAAAGCTATTATCATTTCATATTCATAATGGTGTAACACTTACGTTTACGCCTCTTTATCATCAGCTACTTAGCGCTTTCATGGGCGAGTCGTGATAGCAGCGGAGATGCTATTTATTACTGTTATATAAAATTAACCAGGTGATTTGGTGGTGGGCAATTGAAGTCACGGAATATGTTTAACACTGACTTTCATCATTTTTATTTCTATTTATATGATTGACGTCCATTTAAAAGTCATTTGAACTTCGTTATTCACAGTCAGATAAAGTCGTTTGTTGCAACATTTTTATACATCTATAAAACAGAAAAGAAAAATTAAATAAATGACATAACTGTCGTATAAATGACAACAGTGTGCAATAAATCATTTTAAAATTATAAATATACATACATACCAAGCTTGTTGTTTTTATAATGACATTTTAAGTAAATGCCATTCGTATAAAATAGTATCGTATGATGTTAATATGAACTCCATATAAATGTATTTTATAATGATGTGAAGATTTGTTTGAGAATATTTATAATATATGCATTGTTGTGTAATTTTAATATCTTATTTTTGTGTTTTATTTATTCAACTTAAGTCACGGTAAAACTCTTTATCAACAAACACATTGAAGTTACATCCCATATACGTATACTGTATCCCTCGTAAACTTGTATTTAGATAATAAAATGGATCACAAACAATGTTATTTACATGTACATTTTATACCAGTTCGGACATTGTTAAATAAATTAGTTTATTGATCAACTTAGAGACATTTTTATATTCGAATAAGTGGAGCAAATGAACACGAGACGTCTAAATAAAAAGCCTCGATGTCTTTACGACGACAACGCCCTGCCTTTCGAACATACGATAAAATACACTGTGACATCTTCATACTGTTTAAGAGACATTTTAAAGTGAATTCGTTTATTTCAATAAAGAACGCTAATGACAAGTATGTTGTCTGTTTGCAATTTACTGCTTTAACTTTGAATAGGATACACGATAACATTCAATTAGGTGTTTCAGTGGCGTGTCGTGCCGGAGTCGTGTCGTTTCCTACTGTTGTAAACGATCGCTGTCAGTTAAATTGTAACTCGTTCGTGTTAGCTACGGTTAATTTTATGTTGCCACGAGAGTTGAGTTAATGATGTTACAGATTTATTGCTCTTCTTAATTTGGCGCAAGACCGAGGGTCATTGAAGGCATGTACGATTATGTAATATAATTTTCTACATTGAGATTCCGCAGCTTGTATACCAATAATATAAAATGTTGTTTTAGCAATAGTTTCTGTACATAATGCTGTAATTTACCATCTTTGTTCTCAGAAAGTCATCAAATACTTCGTTATGGTCCTTTATATCTTGACACATCAAATTATATTACATAATGTTGACTTTTCAAAAACTATACGGAACCTTAAATCTCGATAAATTTTCTATTTTATTGTAGCAATTGCCAATAACAGAATTAAAGTCGAGCAAGCTTTCTCCGTGAGCTGGTCCATCGTTGCCGGCTCTGGGTTACTTAGACGCACCCGAGACGTTTAGCAACCGGACTCATCACATATAAATAATGATCAATGTTAGGTACAAACGATGATAAACTAATTAATTT